AAAATTAAGTGAGGTAAGACAATATTATATGATTTGCAAAGAACCTAAGAAAGAATCATCCAATTTTAAAGGAAAATGAGAGCCGAGCATTCCAGGGCAATTTGAACCAATGGGTAAATAAGACATAGAATTCAAGCATGAATTCCTCTGGGACTGAGGAAACTGATGGAATGAGAGGAAAGGTTAAAGCAGGGTCTTTCTTACCACTCAATTCCTTTTAACTCCGCCCTTTTAGACATTAGTCTAGATCATCTAAAAGTCAGGCGATAGTAAGGGGCTGTATAGAAAGAAATTAGGCTATCAAAAGGGAAAAGGGGCTCAAGGGGAAAAGAGGCGGCTGAGAGGCAGTGGTCAACACTAATTAAGGGGGAGGCAAACATGGACAAAGGGATATAGAGTTTGTGTGAATTACGAATAACCAATATATGCACAGCTATTTTAGATGTCTCTAGGCCAAAGAAATAAAGGCAGATACCAAAGTGAAAAATGAAAGCAAGAAGGATAATAAATATAGAAAAACTTAGGGCCACCACTCTTAATTTGTCCTACCTAACACCTAACCTAGTCACCATCTGTGAGTTTAATGGACTGCTTGTCCAGGTGGTCTAGTCTCACAGGCATCATCTTGGAATAATTATATTCCAGATCTAGTAGTACTAGGTCTCATAATGACAAAGTGAATGCTTTTGAGTTTTTTTTTTTTTTAATTGGAAATAATCTATGACTTAGAAAAATTTATGCCTTATTTTTTTTTTAACCAATCACCCTCCCAGCCTATGCCCCCCAAGACTTCAACTGAAACCCTCCAGGAAAAAATATACTGTTCAATTTTTTGCTATTTGATTGAATGTGACTCTTTTTGAGTTTTTTGTTTACCTTTGTCTTCTCTTAGACTGTAGGTTTGAAACAGACATAAATAATATTCCTCTGACCAATCCTCTAATACATGTTATTCAGCTCTAATTTAGGGAAAAAAAAGTATCTGCATTTATATATTTCCCCAAAGGCCAAGAAGCTAGTATGAACAAACAGTGTATAGTTAATGAAAGGCAAGTATGCACAAATGGGACATCATCTGAATTAGTTTAAATAAATATAGTACATTCTAAATGTTTATATATATATAAATTATACTGTAAATTTTCTAAATGTTTTCTGAATAGCAATTAATTACTTTAAATGTCAGATTTTAGTGTATTAAAGAAAATAATCTGACCTTAAGTTGCTCTTCCAAAGCCGCGGTTGCATGCTCTCCAGTAGATTCATCGACTACCACTACCATGTGAGTGAGAGAATTGACCTTGACTTGTTCTTGTTCTAGGTCTTCTTGAAGCACCTGAAAAATAAATTTTTTAAAGGAAATGAAAATTTCTTCCCAAATACATGTAATTTATTATGTGTGCCATGTTTTGGGTAATGCAAAATATTTTAATAAACTAGAACCATTCCAAGCAAATTTTCTGCTACGATGTTCAGCAAAATTTGCAAATTTTACTTCCAATGGAACTCAAAAGTATGTAGAGAGAGCATCTATTAAGAAAGGTACAGTAGGATGTTATGCCTCTTATCCCACCTCCTCTCACTTTTCAAGGACTTTTATCCTAAAATTATATGCTGCTTCTGGCATTTTCAATGTCTCCTTCTCTATAGAAGTTCTCCATTATCAACCAAAATAAAATAAACTCTCTTGAGTCAACAAATCCCTCGTACTACTGACCTACTGTGTGTTCCTTCTCACTAAAAAAAAAAAAAAAAAAGTTTTTTAGTTACTTTTTCTACTTCCTTGCCCTACTATTCTCTTTGCCCAATCCCATTGAAACATCTCTTTTAAAGGTTGTCATCAACCTCCAGGTTCCCAATCCAATATCCATTTTTTGTCATTGTCTTATTTGACAATCCAATTACCTAATTAACCACTCCTTCATTCTTGTCATCCTTTTCTCTGGAGCTTCATGTACCACCCTCTGTTGATTATCTTCCCACCTTACCAAGTGCTATTATTTTTAGCTCCTTTGCTGATTCCTTCTCCTTTGCTCAACTATAAATCAGATGTCACTCTATATAAAAACCAATGGATATCTACCACACTAAGAAAAATCCAGACTCTTTGCCTGAAATCCTTATAGGGTCTAGCACCTGCCTATCTCTCCAATCTAATTGCCTATCATTGTTGCCCACTGACACTGTTTCAGCCACACTTGTCTTTCTCTCCTCCACAAATATGTCAAACTATTTTCACTCCTGAGTTGTTCTTCCTCCATATCTTAAAATAATCTCTCCTTATCACTGAGGACTCAGTTAAAGTGTCACTTCCCCAGAGATGCTTTTCATTAATATGCTGTCTAAATCTGATCCTTAGTTACTCTCTTTTTCTGTCATTTTTAAATAACATTTTCACTACTCAATATTTCCTCATGTATTAGTCATTTGTCTCTAATTACTTGAATTTAAGAACCACTAGAACAGAGATGTCCTCTGTCCTCTCATTACATACTCTAAGCAACAAAAGATCAATAAACTTTTGCTGAATGGTGCCACATAGAAGGATGATGGCAATACGCACAGATGATTTTGTCCCTTCCTGATTGCATAAAGATTGCAACTTCATAGGAGGGAGTAGCTTTTTTAAAAAAGTGTAATTACAATTACACTAACGAGTACATATAACCACAAAACAATATTCCAGTCTTTTGTAAAATCGTAGTGTATGATTTTTTTTTTTTTTTTGGTAAGGATAAACAGGAGTAAACAGAGGAATGATTATAAGGCAAGCAGAGGAGGAGTCAACAGAGGAGGCTGCTCTAAATCCAAGAATCCTGCCTGGGAGCTCCAGTTTCCCCAAGACTTTATCATAATATACTAATTACTATGAAATCTCTGAATGAATATGTGAAACTTCTAGTCATCTAGCTTGTTTCTTAGAACATTTTATTATATAATACAGAAATGGAGAAACAGGTTTCTCCATTCTAGAAGGCCTGCTGGCTTTCTAGAAAACCTGCAGTTCCTACCTGTGAGAGAATGACACTTGGCACCTATCAGATTAGCTCATAGTTATTCAAACTCTATGGCAGGTAAAAGAGAACTTATCAGGATTGGCTGCATCACAAACTCTAATGCATGAGCATTTTTATTCTAGGACTTTTATTTTCAAGTCTAAACATTTTAGAGCACCATAAAATCACTTACTTTTGCTTCCTCTCTCTAGATTTTCACACTACATTTTCAAGTGAAGCAATTTAGAATAAAATGACTATGCATATATTTTGTGTACAGAGTCTATACTGTCTATCACGCCTTTGACATTCTAGAGTTTGCACTGGTTAATAAAACTATTTCTGCTATGAGACCAAAAACAGAAACATTAACATCCAGCATTGTCCTTGAAAGTCATGTTGAGTCTGTGTTTTCTGAGTTACATAAGCCAGAACTGGGAACATTTCAAATGTGTAAGCCAGGAACTTTAAAAATAATAATTGTAATAATATTTTGGTAGCCAATATATCATAAGTTGGTTTCTTTAATTTAACCAATTCCTTTTTGCTATTACTCAAGTATGAGAGTATATACAATTACAAATATTAAAAACAATTAGAAAAATAATGCTATACTGTTCAAGTTTTATATGTAAATTTTTATTTTTACTATTTTAACATATTTTAGTAAAAAATTTGAGCATTGTTTGATCCATGAAGTCCTTAATTTCAAACTCAGGTCGAGTGTTTCTAAAGCATACGTGATCAAATGTATTATTTGTTTTCTCTAGTACTTAGATTTCTGGTTTTGTTTGTTTTATAATCAGAAATTATATTCTTGTTACACTGAACAAGGGCTTACATTTTATGCTTTTGCAGAAGTACAAACACAAATTACCACTAAAGTTGTGAGTCGGTAGCTCTAAAATCAAACACAAGAACTATCTGAATTTATACTGAGTTGAGATAAATACAAAACGGGAAAAACCAGCCAAAATGGTGTAGAGGATATAAGCTTTGCTCATCCCCTTTTGTGACCACATCAAGATTGAGACAGAAACACAGAGCAAACAGCAAGCAGAGTCACCTGGGGGTCTAGAAGAACAGAAGCACTACAATTAGGGAGAGAAATAAGAAATCACCCTGCAACAGTTAGAGGAGGCGGTGAAGACGCGAGGCTACCCCTTATCCAGTGGCTGAGTGGGGCAGAGGGTGTGACATCCGCAGAGGCAGAAGCCTCTTAAAGGGGCAGCGTCCGCGAGCGGACTTTTGCAGTGAAGGACATGCTCAATCTGAGCACCAGTGATAGGTGGGCTGCAAGAGTGGCACCAGGGACTTAAATGGGGACACTGAGTTGTCTGAACAAGGGCCGGAGGGGAGACTTTGTACCGGACAGAAGTGCAGGTGGTATCTATTGTTCCCCTGGTGAGGCCTCCCTCCTCCTAAAATGCAGATGCAGCAATGCCATTGCTGAGACATCATCGAACTGGATAACAGAGGTCGTCCCGCCCAGAGGATTCCCTGAAACCTTGCCTCCCCCAACTCGTGGCCCCACCTAAGCCACATCCAGTTGTATTCTCAGTGAGTCAGGCGCTCCTTGCTGAGCAGCAGCTAGATTCACAATGGAGGCAGCTGGCATCAGTTTCTGACGTGGCCTTTTAAGGCAACTATAAGCACAACATCTGTGGATTGCTTGCTGAATCTTAACAGGTAACCCTGGAGGGGCACAGGCTTGGGGCCAATTTGGCCTGCC